CCCCCTCCGCCCTACAGGGAGGAATGCGGCCTCCCTTTACTGAACACTGAGACACAACTCCCTCGCCGTGTCTCCTCACTGGATATTGTGGATCAGCAGCCTCGCCTTTCACCCTCTAGGGAGGCCCCTGCTCTGGGCTGCGCTCACCCCTCCACTCCACAGGGACCACTTTAACAGAGCAACTCGCCCCCATCCACCTTGGTTGTAGGTGACTCCACCATGAGAAATATCAAACAGCGTTCAGCAGACACCCACTCCCTCTCAGGTGCCAAGGTCTCTGACATCACACAGCAGCTCCCCAGCCTCCTTGATAAGTATCATTTAATTCAGAAAGCAGTTATTCATGTTGGCTGTAATGACATAAGATATCAGAGCACAGAACGTGACTTTACACGGTTGTTTGTGTTTTTAAAAAGCTGTGGCAAAAATGTTTTTATCTCTGGCCCAATCCCACCCTTAGGAAAGGGCACAGGATGGTTTAGCCACATTTTAAACCTCCACAGTTGGTTGCAAAAAACCTGTCTCTCCACCAGAATGACTTTTACAGACAATTTTAACCTCTTCTAAAGATCGTCCATCCTTTTACTGGAAAGGTGAAATTCAACCAAGCAGCTTGGGTTCAAAAGTTTTAGGGGACAATATATTTTACTCTGTCTTTAATACAAACTCATTACTGGACTCCAGTAATGATTATTTTAGCTTTCCTGTGATTAGCACCCAAAGGAAGAACTCTATGGCATATATACACAGAGCCCATACTACATATAGTAGTAGAAATTTCAGAAGTGCTCCTACAGTTAGCATAGATAATCTCATCTATATAAAGCCTTCACCAGCCTTCAACATTAAATATTAGAAGCCTCCTGTGGCAAGACGACTAGACCAACTTAAGGTTCTGATACTACAGACTGACCCAACTATCAGCGCTTACAGAATCTTGGCTACGAAAGCACACAAGTGACTCTGAAGTGGCCTTAAATAAGTATAGTTAGTATAAATGTGACAGAGATTCAAGAGGTGGTGGTATAGCAGCGTATGTCAAGCCATGTTTTACTACTACAGTTCTTGATGTCATCACTGTGAAAAACTGCTTTGAACTTTTAGCTCTGAAAATAATGGTAGGACAAAACACCTCAGTCATTGTAATAGGGGTATATAGATCCTCCTTCTGCTCCTTCTTATGCCATTGATGGTACTGCAGAGCAGTTAGCTAAATACTGTAACTGAGAAGCTACCATCATGGGTGATTTAACTTGAACTGGCAAAGCAGCGGATCTGACCACCTGAATTGTGTGAATGATCTTAATCTCTCACAACTGATCACTGATTCAACCAGGCCAAACTTAAAGGATCACTCCAAGTCAACTTTGATTGATCTAATTTTAACTAATAGGAGTGACAGAATTACAGCATCAGGAGTCTTTGATCTAGGTTTTAGTGATCATTGCCCAGTCATGTGCATCATATGGGGGCAGTTGTAGGCTGGAGGTTAGGGAACCAGCCGTGTGACCGGAAGGTTGCCGGTTTGATCCCCTCGGCTGACAGTCCGTGACTGAAGTGCCCTTGAGCAAGGCACCTAACCCCCAATTGCTCCCTGGGCACCGTGGACAGGGCTGCCCACCACTCTAGGCAAGTGTGCTCACTGCCCTCCATTGTGTGTGTTCACTAGTGTGCATGTATGTGGGTATTTCACTGCACGGATGGGTTAAATGTGAAGGTCTAATTCCACAGTGTGCAAACACAGTTGGCTGATGGTTCTGAATTCAATTCGGGAGTGTTCTAAAAAGTCTGGTTCCAGAATGGTGATCAGGAGAAATTTTAAAAATTTTAATGAGCAGGCATGATTTTACATGACCTTGCACTTCAGAATGTTGATACTTAAGCACTTTAGTACAATCTTTCTCTCTGTAGTAAACAAACATGAACCTTTTAAAAACTACAGAATTAAGGGTAGATCAAGTCCCTGGTTCTCTAACGGTATGTCGTTGCTCCTAATAAAGCCTGGAAACTTCCTAGACAGACAGGGGAGGAATCTCACTAGTTTACATTTAGAATGCTTATCAAATGCACATCTCTGATTAGGAAAATCAGACTACTATTGAATCTGATTTCTAGCTCCCGGTCAAGTTTTGGAAGGCTGTTAACTTGGTAAAAAATAAGGCCTTATCTTGTGTCCCACCTCAGATTGCACGGGATGATCATCTCATAACTGACCAAGAAGAGATGTGTGTAACTTTTAACAAACACTTTACTGCTGCTGGTCACTTATTTGACAGAATGTTGGTAAAACCACCTCTAAATTTTACTGAGTGCAAAGATGCCGTAAGCCATAACACCTGTTGTACCTTGCACCCCTTCTCCTTCAGTGTGGTCACAAAAGCACTTTTAACCATCAACCCTAGAAGATCAATGGGTGAGGATAAACTGGACCCCTTTTTCTTAAAATTTGTCACCTCAATTATTTCGGAGCATGTTGCTCATATTTTTAATGTCTCTCGATTTCATCAGGCATAGTCCCCAGTGTCTGGAAAATAGCCAGTGTACCCCCATTGCATAAAGCTTGAGATGTATCTGATTTAAACAGTTATAGGCCAATCTCAAAGCTGTGATGCCTCACAAAAATATTAGAACTACAAATTAATGATCAACTGCAGTCATTTCTCCAAGTAAACTCTGTTTTGAGGACACAGCAGTTTGGTTTCAGGAAAAACCATAACACCATTACAGCTACTACACTGGTTTTAGATGATCCTATTACTGCTCGTAACAGAAAGATGTAACGTGCTGCTCTTTGCTGACTTATCCAAAGCTTTTGATACTGTTGATCATCCACTGCTGCTAGAAAGATTACACAGTTAGGCTTTGACCACAATGCTATTGAATGGTTTCAGAACTACCTTTCTGGTAGACAACAGTGTGTTGCCCTGGGAAGCTGTGATTCTGTCTTCTTCTTGTCACTAAATGGGTCCCTCCGGGTTCAGTTTTAGACCCAGTGTTGTTTTCAGTTTACATTGATGATATTGCATCCACAGTGAAATAATGTAAAGCACATCTGTATGCTGATGCCACAATTTTATACTGTACTACAAACTCAGCAAGGGTAAAAACTGCAGTGCTCCTTTGACTCCCTTGAAGTCGTACTCCAAAGCCACAAATTAGCCCTAAATGCAGACAAAACTAAGTTTATGCTGTTTTCCAGACCTGCTCATATTGAAAATAAAATTTTAAATGTTTTTACTCTACATGGATCCATTACTGAAAGAGTAAATGAGTATAAGTACCCCTATTTTTTAATCTTTATTTTTCCATTTTCATACTATTTTTTTTATTTATTTGTGCTTTTAATTGTTGTTTTACTGTTTCATCTTCTTTTTATTATTATATATATTTTTTATTGTTGTGTATTTATTTAATATTTTTAAATGTTTTCTTTTATTATTTTATCTTTACTTTGTAATCTTTATTTTAACAATCTTAATTTGTTATGTGTTTTTTTTGCTCTTCCTGTGGCTCTTGGCTACATTGAAAATGAGCTCCCCCAATGTAAACCTGAGCTTAAACAAAGGATGATGATGATGAAACATGCCTTTTAATGCATTGTCACTTTGTGCTATGAAGCCTAATACCATGATGTTGCAAAATTTTATATATGATTATGTGTAGCCAGTGGAAGTTGGTACCACTACCATTGATGGACAAAGGAATGCATTGTGTTTTCACAATGATTTTATTCTGATAACAGAAATAATACAGCCTCTAGTACTGGACAGCAAACCCCTGCTTCTTCTCTCCTCTCCTCACCTCCTTATATGAAAATGCCCATTTTAAATTTGATGCCAGCAACACGTTCCAAAAAAGTTGGGACGGGGCAACAAAAGTCTGGTAAAGTTGTGTAATGCTAAAAAAAACACCTGAAGGTAAATTAGCAACAGGTCAGTAACATCACTGGGTAGAAGAAGAGCATCCCAGAGCAGCTGCGTCTTTCAGAAGTAAAGATGAGGAGGAGTTCACCACTCTGTGAAAGACTGAGTGGGCAAACAGTGCAACAATTCAAGAATAACATTTCTCAACATAAAATAGCAAAGAACTTGGAGGTTTCATTATCTACAGTACATAATATCATTAAAAAATTTAGATGATGTGGAGAAATCCCTGTATGCAAAGGACAAGGCTGAAAACCAGTATTGGCTAGCCAAGATCTTTGGACCCTCAGGCAGCACTGCATTAAAAACATGATCCTGTAGTAGAAATCATTGCATGGGCTCAGGAACACTTCTGAAAAACACTGTCTGTGAAAACAGTTCATCACTGCATCCACAAATGCAAGTTAAAACTGTACAATGCAAAGAAGAAATCATATATAAACAGAACCTAGAAATGCCACCAATTCTTTGGGCCTGAGCTCAGTTAAGATGGACTGAGGCGAAGCAGAAAAGTGTTCTGTGGTCCGCCAAATCAAAATTTGACATGGCATGGGTGACTGGCACATCTGTGAAAGCAGTATTAATACTGACCGATATTTACAGGTTTTGGCAACATCTGTTGCCATTCAGATGACGTCTTTTTCAGGGAAGGCCTTTCTTATTTCAGCAAGACAATGTAAAACCACATTCTGCACATATTAAAACAGCATGGCTCTATAGTAAAAGAGTAAGGGGGCTAAATTGGCCTGCCTACAGTCCAGATCTGTCACCCACTGAAAACATATGGCACTTTATGAAATGAGAAATATGACAAAAGAAACCTTGCACTGTTGAGCAGCTGAAATCCTATATCAAGTAAGAATGGGAAAACATTTCACTTTAAAACTACAGCAGTGTCTCTTCAGTTCCCAAACGCTTACAGAGTGTTTTTAAAAGAAGAGCTGATGCAACACAGTGGTAAACATGTCCCCGTCCTAACATTTTTGGAACATGTTGCTACCATCAAATTCAAAATGGGCAAACATTTTTTCAAAAAACAATAAGATTTCTCAGTTTTAACATTTGATATGCTGTCTTTGTACTATTCTCAAATAAATATAGGGTTTAAATCATTGCATTTTGTTTTCATTTACACTTTGTACAGCATCCCAACTTTCTTGGGAATGGGGTTGTATAAGAATATGCTTAGCTGACTAGTATGCTGTGTGGCTCATGCTGTGTAATGTTGGCAATATGTGCATAATTCAGTCTACGATTCATCATCAGCTAAAATCAGCAAAATATGATACAGCACATTTATTGATAATGAACCCAGGAACACACACCCACATGTGACAGAGCTGGGAAATAGCATTCTCCTCCAAGCGCGTTCCGCTGTTCAATGACATCATGTTAGCGGCAATTTGAAAAGATGTGGTGGCTGGCTTTAGCTGGAACCTTCGGTCACAATTCATTTGGATGGTCTCCTTTAGATGATCTACAGATACTTATATTATTAACAAACTTTGTAGTGGAATTCAGTTAATTATCAACAACATTAAGGTTAGGGTTAGGTTCAGGAGTAGGTGTCTTGAGATTAGGGACAGATTTAATAGAATTTCACACAACTTTCATAGATATGAAGACTGAGCATCTACAAAGCATAAACAGTAAACCATCTAAATAAAGTGTTACCAAATCTGTAATGCATCTGTAATGCTATCATGCAGCATAGTATGCAACATAGAGCCGGTTGCCCTTGGTGCCTTCATTGAGATTTTTTTCAATGACTTCAACACCAGCCTTCTCATACTCTAACTTTGCTTGGGGGTCAATCAGTAGATTGAAGCCTTGTATCTTCTGACATCCATCATGCAGGCTCCAGATGTAGATAAAAGGCCCACCTGCTCCCTTATTCAGGTCTTTTGCCACCTGTTTAAAACCTTTCTTCTGCAGATTGAACTCTTCTTGAGAGCTGGTGGAGACAGCCACAGCACTCAGGGCTTTGCTCTTGTCTTTCGAGCGGCGATACCAGAGGAAGACAAACTCCCCCTTGGCTCTCCGGTTGATGTCTTCATCCACACGAGTGTAGCCTTCCTCAAAAAGTGACTGGTCATCATCAAAGCCAAAGGTTGCGGTGATTTCACAGATGTAGGTCGGCTCCTTGCGCTTTAGCCACAGATAGACAAAGTTTCCATTTGCCATGCGGTTGAGGTCACATCCCAGCCTTTCGTAGCCGTTCTTTAGGAGCTTTGGTTCCTGTGTCACGTTCATGGTCACCTTCAGGTCCACAATGGGAACATCTTCATCTTTGAGATACCAAAGATAGATGAAATCTCCACCAGCTCCTGCATTCAGATCCCTTGATATTTGTTCAAACCCAGCACTGAGCAAACCAGCTTTTAAATGATCATTAAACGAGCACTGGATCCTGGTGATAGGCTTCACACCACACTCCTTCTTGTACCAAAGAAACACTTGTCTTCCTTTGTTACCAGAATTGAGGTTAACATTAATGAAGTTGAACCCTTGAGCTCTTAGAATGGCTTCCTCATTACTGTTGGTGGAGACGTGAAGTTTTGTGATGGGGGGATCTTCAGCCATTGCAGTTTGAAGTCAGCCCTTTGATGCTTTGCAAACAACTGAAATACCTAAAAAAGTAAAATACAAATAAATTGTTAGTATTAAAGAGGCTAAATGTAGGACTGTGTTAGATCACAGAAATTCTGGAGTCGACTCTGTTTCAAATTCATAGTAATAGGAATCGATGGAGTTGAATCCAAGAGTTGATTCCACATAATCATTTATTTGGTTCCAAAAGACCAGCTATTTTCACACATGTACTTTCATGCAGCGATTTAACAGTAATTAAACAGGGGTTACATGGTAATACAAGCTGGAGTTGAAATGCTGGTGGTAATTTACCTGCACAAAACCTAGAACGGAGAACCAGTTTTGGTCCTGGATTTTGTAATCACTGGTAGTTAACTGAACTGCTGATGTAACTGATTGGCCACTTGGTGTCCTACCTACCAATAACTGCAAAATCCAGGACCAGAAACTGGATTCAAGGTCTGAATGTGAAGACCTCTGACTGAGTACAGATCTCAAAATCCAATGAGCCAGGAGGGCTCAAGTGTGAACAGAAGCCGAACCATTACCAGAAACCATTACCATTAGTGTGTTAATCATGGCCAGTAAAGTGGCATGTTTCTGTTTTTGAAGGGTTGAGTTCTCAGATTTTACCAGAATTTATTTTGCATTTTGCATATTTGTACACAGTTCTTGTACTGCTCAAGGGAAGTATCAAAATCTGTCCCTTGTGTGCATGGCTGCAAAAGCAGCAGGACCACCAAAACAAAACATTTATGTAAGCTATTTAGAGACTGACAGCAGAATATCCCACAATCACAATGTGCAGGCAAACTTGAACCTCAAAGAATTTAGTCGAGTTCAAATCTTAGGAATTTCCAAACTCAGAGAATCCACTCATTTGAGTTCGACTCCCAGCCCTACTAAGATGTTTAAAAAAGAATCTCCAATCATATTTCAAGAAATAAACAACTGGTTGTTCCCTAGATCTGCAGTTTCATCATAAGTCTGTAATTAAACTCATAAGCTCCATCCATCCATCCATCATCTAAACCGCTTATCCTTCTGGGTCACGGTGGGGTGCTGGAGCCTATCCCAGCTGTCATTGGGCAGAAGGTAGGATACACCCTGGACAGGTCACCAGTCCATCGCAGGGCAGACAGACAAACACACACATTCACTTACACCTAGGGGCAATTTAGCATGTCCAATTGGCCTGACTGCATGTTTTTGGACTGTGGGAGGAAACCCACGCAAACACAGGGAGAACACGCAAACTCCACACAGAAATGACCCTGGTCGCCCGGCCGGGAATCGAACCCAGGCCATTTTTGCTGTGAGGCGACAGCGCTACCCACTGCGCCACATGCCGCCCACTTGTAAGCTCAATGTATCATATTATTTATGTTAGTAGTTCAAAAAAATCCATTGTTAGCTTACATCACTTGCCTCAATCCAGTTTTTTTACAGTAATTGACCCGTCAAAAGCATAGCTCTTTTATAGCCACTCTTGTGAGGTTGGACACGTTTTGTAGAACATTTGCAAAAATCCTCTTCAACAATTTCCTTTTATTGAGTTAACATTTTTTTAACACTAGCACAATGTGCTAAAATTAATCACTGATAGAGGTGGAAAGGAACAAATTACATGGACTCTCATTATTGTACTTTTGTACAAATTTCTCTATAATGGTACTTTTTGGAGTAAATTAAATCTTAATATTTTTACTCTTGAGTTAATTGTTAATTAATAGTAATTCTGTCAGGCTCAGATTTGTTTTTCACTTTCTTTCATTTTTTTATACCACATAATGGCCTAAACAGAACAGTCTCACACAAGACCCAACAGCTGGCACACAAACCTGCATCAAATATGTAGTGCTTCCATTACAGTGATACATTTTGCCCCCTCTATCCCAGCATTCAACATCAGAGACTTTAGTCACTTCACTTCAGAATGCAGTCTGACTCTCTCTCTCTCTACTGGTGTTAATAAGAAATGTACTATGCAGGTTTTTTTGAGTTTGATGGCTGTAAGTGTGTTTAGACCTATTCATGTAAGCTAATGTTTAAGGTGCTGATAGGCAGCAGGGCTTTCACTAAACATTAAATTATTAATTATGCAATCTACCTGTTATTTTGACTCTTAATCAAGTAATCTGTGTTTTTTTAATCGGCCAAACCAAAAAATAGACTCAGTTAAATGGTAAACACTCAACAGAATCAGAGATTCTAAATTACTTTAGTGGGAACAGATGAACTAGTAAACCTTATGTAATCAACATCATGATGTGCATGTAGTTTAATGTTAACCTTGCTTCTTACACAGTGGACAGTTCAGATGTCTGCATGTGGACAGGCTCAGCACTCAAAATGTTTTTCTCATGTACTGTCATGTTTTGCTTTAGTTTTATTTTAGGGTTGCCAACCGTCCCATAAAATATGGAATCGTCCCTTAACTGCAAACTAAAAGATGTTTTCTGTATTGAACTGATAGAGCATGTGCTTTGTTCTGTATTTTTGAGAATCAGTTCCATGCAAATCTATGGGAGAGAAATATTACAGGTTAGATGAGGGGTTGACAACATGCGGCTCTTTTAGTGCCTTGTTGGCTCCACAGCAGAATTTTAATTTTTAGCTTATACCTGATAATTCACCAACCTTCAACCTGAAGGTCGGTGCACAGACTGCTGGTCACCATAGCAACACAGATGACAATCTTACCTAGCTAGTAGCTAATGAAATGGCAAAGAGACAGATTAAAGATGAACATCGACAATATTTATAAACTTTTTTTTAGAAAAATATAAATAACTTTTTACAATTGTTCTGAACCTTTTTGCAAAAATGGAGTCATTTTGGTGAAACTCAATATTTTATCAACTGTTTTATCAACTAATTTCAACTCCATTACATTTATAAGCACGTAGCTGGTTTCCTGATACGTTTAATCAGCAAATGAGAAACTATCAAACACTAAAAAGTCACGAGGCTGAAGACAGCCTCTCATTTGCCAGCTGCTTGTTCAGAATCTTCCGTTTCACCTTATATCGTGCAGCAGTTACATTCTGGTGCCTCAAATTTGAACAAGAAGCTGGGAAATGAGAAGCTGAAACCAAACGTTGAGAGACATTTTACAAGAAACTATTCCACTTTTGAGGAAAAGTTTCCTGTAGGAGATGCGAGAAAAGCGGCTTTAGCTGAGCTAAAGCTTAAAGCAGAGCAAAGTACGGCTTTGTTTTTGTTCCTTTTACAATTTTACCCTATACTGGTACATTAGCACATACTGAGACATATTTACAGACAAGATGGTAAAATGGACATAATGTTGTGGCTCCCAAGGTGGTTTGATTTTTGTTGGAAGGACAAAATGGCTCTTCTTAACTTTTAGGTTGCCGACCTCTGGGTTAGACTATTAAGAAAGGAAGAAAACCCTGCTGCTCTCCCTCAGCCTGTCCATCATGTTAACAGAGAATGTGACTTGTGACCAATGAGAAGCACAGTCAGCGTTGCTATGATATGCCTGACAGCGGCATGAGATTTAAAAAATGGCGTAACACTCAGACAAATTATACTCGTTATATCCATATATGTATATGTAGTAATTTAGGCACTAAATCAGCGCCCCACCTTAAGTTGTATAGCCCTGTTGACCTTGCTGATTGTAACTCGTGCAGTGGATGGAGATTAGATGAAGCTGAAGCTTCTTATTGTCATTTCTCGTTCCACCTTAAATGATGTAGAACTTACATTCAGCCACCTGTTCGGTCACTAGCATGTAAATGCGGCACTATTTAAAGGGGATCGGAAATTCCAGTGGGAAGCTAACATCAGCCTTGAGAGATCATCAAATGAAGTGTGACACAGCAGACAGAGCTCCATTGAGTTTAATGACTTGGCTACCGTTTTCACAGTATTCACATGTGAATTATGTGAAGATGGACAGTAGCGGCAAGAACTGCAGAGAACCAAGATATGAAAAAGCTAGGATGGGCAGATTTCTGAGCAGGTGGGCAGTGAGAAATGTTGACAGGATGTTAATTTAACTTACTTAGCAAACATAAGCTTCATTGGTAACACTTTACATTAAGGGTCGCTAATCAATGATTAAATATATAATAATCAACTATTAGTTTCCCATTATTCAGTTATTAGTTAACTCTTCATTAAGCATTAGCTATTACTTAGTAATTGATTAAGCACTTATCAATTAGTAATTAAGTACACTGTTAGTTGATAAGTTAGTTTGTCGTTAGTTTGTGGCTTACTTACTCATTATCTGTGTGCTAATTGCTGCTTATTACATTGTTAATTAACTAATAAGTATTTTTCTTCATATAAAGAAGTAACGTGATAACTTACTAGCACTTATGTGTTAATCCCGCTAATTATCTGTTAATTAACTTTCCATCACCTCTATATATTCAGTTGCTTCACTTTTCTCACTTTGGTTCTTGTTCATTAAAGATGCTTATGGTCACATCTGACCGTAAGATGAGTGCACACAAATTCACTGATGGTTTTGTTATTCATTACGTTCATCTTGGCATATCTGTACTCATATCTGGTAGGAGTGCATGTAAATTTGGGCATGTAAATGCTGGATATGTGGCTAATTAACCAAAACTATTATCAACATAACCTGTAACAGCAAAAATAAAAACAACAATAGAAAATATCAATAATACTAATTTGTGTGCATGACAGTCCAGTAGAGAAGTGGATGTACTTACTTTACATGCGCATTGATATAAACAAGTGCTGCAACTATTTCATGTTCCATTTAAAGACACATTACACTGTGCTTGTGTTTCATACTACTGACTCACAAACACAGCTTTGGTCATACACTGCAATAATACAGGTTTATTTTAGGGAATTAACTACACTAAACAATCACTCTACTATGTTAACAACACTGAGTTTTTAGTTTTATTTCACATTTTATTTTTTTCCAGTTGTTTTCATTTTAATACTATTAAGTTTGGTCAGCAGGGCAGGAGTGCACTCACTGCTGGACATCAAACTCCACCCACGAGCACGGCCATTAGCTTTTATG